CCATTAAAAGGATATGTAAATCTATTTGCATGGAAAACATTCATATTGATAAGTAATAAAAGTAAGTTGTTATATTGATTACTTATTGATAAATAATAAAAGCACACTAAAACTGTAGAATACAGTCTTAGTTCTGTTTGTATGTAATATGTAATCAAACAACATATACTTATTTAAGCATATATAGTTTTATAGAAAAGGTCTGAAATATATTCACCAAGTCATCATCTCTAGGGAGTGGGATTCTGATTGATATTATAATTTGTTTCTTTTTGCTCATTTGTATTTTAAAAATTGTCTACAATAAAAATGATTTGCTTATGTCAAAAATAAAATTAACAAACGACATTTCTGGCCAGAATTGGTAGGCTCGGTAACCCTTTGGATGTGGGGAAAGAGAGCAAGGTAATTGCTAGAACTAACTGCGGGTTAAGTTCCCGGGTGGAGGGGTCACCGTGAAGGGAGAGAGGAACCAGGAGGAAAGAGCTGCTTGAGCAGGGGAGGGGTGCAGGACGAGATCGTGAGTGAAGTTTGGACACATTGACGTGGAGGTAGGCATGTGATCAGAAGCTGGGGGTGTAGTTCTGGAACAGAATAGTGTCCAAAGCTGCTGCGAGTGCAACCCCCGGGAAGAGAGCCTTAGACTTCCAGTAGCAGGTGGGCGATTGCCTTTGTGGGTCTGCGGGAGAGAGAGGAACTGCGGGTGCGGCAGGTCAGGGGCTGCATGGGAGACGAGAAATGATGGCAGCTGGTGGGGACGGTCCACTCTGTATGGTGTTTAGGGGAGAAGACAATGAGGATTTTAGGGTCTGGAGCATGAGAGGGAGAGCAGGTTTGGTGATAACGGGTTTAAAAATCTTTGACATATAGTTAAAAGCAAAGAGAGGAGAGTTAATAAAATCACTCAGCAAAGGTGTGTGGAGCAAGAAAAGAAACATGCCTAGCCTGGACCTGGGGAGTAAGCAGAGGTTCACTGCGGGTAAAGTTCTAGATCATCAGCTTTTCTCCATGCTTTAGAGATATTATTTTACTGTTTTCCATTATTTCTAACAAGAGTCAGCTGTCAGTCTAGGTAATCTATCTTTTCTTTTTTTTTAATTTTCTTTTTGTCCTTGCTTTTTTTTTTTTTTTAATTTATCTTTCTTGGGGTTCAGTAGGTTTCCTAAATCTGCGCATCCACCACTTTCATCAATTCTGGACAACTCACAGTGTCCTCACTCCAAAGAGCCTGTGCCTGGGGTCTCTCTCCTCTCCTTCTGCAGTGCTCACCAGCTGTGGACCCCTGCACCTGCTGACCATTCCTTTTAACCTCTCTTTCATATTTTTAATCTCTTTGTCTTTTTGTGCTGTGTCTGCATCTAATTTTTTACCTTTGAATTTATTTTTTCTCACTCTTTGTTTAGTTATTATTGTATACAAATTGCACACAAAATATAGTTTAAAGGGCTAAATAATTGTACGATGCTAGTGACAAAAAATAGTAGTTCCTTGACAGTTGTTTCTTATATTCTGCTCTCCAGGAACTTTCAACTCTTAATTGAATCTTTCAATATTTGCTTCCATAAAACTAAATAGCAGGCCGGCCTTGCTGCTGCTTGGCTTTTCAGTTTTGGCATCATCTACAGTTTTTGTACCATGGAAGATGTGGATTTTCTCTATTTCCTCTCCCCACTCATGCATTGACCCCCTGCCCTCAGCACACCATGTCCCACACCAGACGTCAGCTCTACTTGGCTAGACAGAATCAAGTACAGGTATTTATATTTAATGACTATGAAAACTCGAGTCCCTGCAGAGCCTTGATCGATCTTCCTCGCCTGCACTCCTTGGCCTGTTCCTTTGGATCGGTACTTGGTGCTTAGGTTTTCGTGCGCAGAGCACCAGTTGCCGGTTGTCTCCCCGCCTGTGGGACTGTCTACTGCGCGTGCGCGGCGCGGGAGGCGTGCAGTCAGGGCCGTGCTGAGCAGCTCCGGGGAGCCCAGTGTCCCGTCTGGGCCTCGCCCTGGGCCAGCATGCCGAGGGCTTCGTTTGCTTCTTCTCAGATCGACTCCCTGGCTCCGGGACCCGTTCCTTCCTCCAGTGATTAACTGCCTCCTTTTGGTGGAGCACATCCTCCAGCAGCTTCCGAGAAAAAGTGCGTGGGGGTCATTTGTTCAGACCTCACATGTCCAAGTGTGTCTTGGATGGTGGTTCGGACTGGGGTAGAACTTCAGGCTGGAAGTAATTGCCCTTCAGACTTCCAGTGGCCTTGCTGTATTTCTTCTCATTTCCTGTGTTGCTGCTGAAATTTTGACAGCATTCTTTTTCTTGATCTTTGTGTGAAACCTGTTTTGTTCTTTCTAGAACCTCATAGGATCTTCTCTGTGTTCACAGTGCTCCAACATTTGATGTGGCATGTCTCTGTCAGGGTCTCTTTCGTCTGTCGTGCTGGCCCTTGGCAAGCCCTTTTACTTTGAAACCCGTGTAACTTCAGCTCTGGGAATGTTCCTGAATTACCTTCTCCCTTAATTCTTGAAGTTCTGTATTTCTGGAACTCTTATTTCATAAATGTTAAGCCTTCTGGTCTGGTCACCTACTTTTTTACTTTTTTCTTTCTCTTACTGTTATTTATTTATTTATTTATTTTTGGTTCCAGTTTTCATAACTTTTTGTTAATTCCTAACATGTCTCCTGAGCTTTGGCTGTCGCTCTGCTCGTATTTGAGAATGAGGGGCAGCTGCCTGGGAGGCTTTTGGTGCGTGGGTCGGGGCCGGCTCACCACGGCTTTGCCATGGGGCCTGAGCTTTGGCTGTCGCTCTGCTCGTATTTGAGAATGAGGGGTAGCTGCCTGGGAGGCTTTTGGTGCGTGGGTCGGGGCCGGCTCACCACGGCTTTGCCATGGGGTGCTATGACTAAGCCATCTTACTGAGAAATCTGAATGTCAGACATTACATCACTAGATACTTTCTCTTGGGCTGCTCAGAGTTCTCAGAGAAGGCTTTTCAAATCTCCTGATAGAATTCTAGAAGCTGAGTAGGAGAAGAAAGCTGAGGTTTTCAACATTTACTTTTTCTCCTTTTATTCATTATAATATCCCAGTTCTCAATTGTTTTATCCCAGAGAATAATTTCTAGTCTTTTGCCGTGGTGGTGGGCAGTCACCAGCTGCTTGCATGGAAAGGAGTCTGGGACTCACGACTTCTGGAATAGAATTTCAACCAAGTCTCCTCTTCTAATCTCACTTGAATCTTTTGTCATTGTCCTCCTTCCCTTCTCCCCATCCTGGTGGCTAGGAATGCCCAGGGGAGACCCTCACACTTACCCTTGCACTCCCAGAGAGCAACGTGTGTGTCTCCACTCTCGCCTTCCGTGGAGTAGGTTTGTTTCTAATTTACACACTGGGGAGCTTGCCTTTCAGGAATCCATGCTTAATATGGGGGCCTCTGGTCTAACTCTCACCTTTTGTAGCCCAGACTTTGTCTCCCATCTCCTGAATGAGCAGCCCCTTGGAAGCCAAGCTCTGGGTCACTGGAGACCGGCAGATGCCCGAGGACAACACTTAGCAGCTGCAGAACTTACCCCTCTGGGCTCATAATTTCTTGTCTTTTTGGAATGAGCAGCCCCTTGGAAGCCAAGCTCTGGGTCACTGGAGACCGGCAGATGCCCCAGGACAACACTTAGCAGCTGCAGAACTTACCCCTCTGGGCTCATAATTTCTTGTCTTTTTGGCCTCTAATGATCTCCTTTACTCTCCTGTTGGCTTGACATGCATTTAAAAATATTATTAAAAATATGAAAGAATTGTGTTTGGGAATTCTGTCACAGGGAGGTCTCTGTAGACATCTAGTCCACGTGTTGCCAGGCCAGAGACCCTCCCTGCATTCATGCAGCATCTGTAGGAAGCACGGCCACCGTCATGATCTTGAGGCTTCCCTCAGCAACTCTGAGACTGGCAGGTTAAGCACCATGGTTTCCCTTTTACAGCTCAAGACGCTGACTGATAACTAACCTATGTCAGGTAACATGGTGGCAGAGCCGATTTGCAAAACCTGGCCTTGAAGCTCTTTTCAGTGATCATACTCTCAGAAGAGAACATGGGTCTCCTCTGGTCACAGGCTGAAGCTGTGGAAAGGCTGATGAGCTTCCCAAAGCCTCCCTGGGGTGCAGGTTGCAGGTAGGATATTAGGAGTCCTTGCCTTGATGCTGAATTTTTACATGTTAGGGAAGGTGTCATCCCCGCGCATACTAAGGAAATGGAAAGCACAGACCTATGAATGCCCCTGTCGTATGGCACAAGAGCAGGTGTCATACAGAGCATGGGAAGCAGTGGCCATGAATACCAACAGTTCTCTGAGGGAAACGCATCAGACAAGGTCCTCAGCCCTGCCGTTCTGCCTTTAGGACCCCAGGAATCCCAGGGCACTGTGGACATGTTCTCAGAGGGGCTAGAATCCAAATCCATGAGCAACCCCACACCACAGCAAAGTGTGATAGCAGCCATCTCATACACCTATATCTTCTGCCATTCACTTCCTTTCCTTCAGGCATGGACATGGAACTGAGCCCAGGCCAGGTCACACCTCCACGTCCCACTACTTTTCACTCACAGTCAAGGCCTGGTCAAGAAGGGAACTTGCCCCCAGTTGGCTGGGTGGGGCAGGGTAGCTGACGGGAAGTGGCTTGTTGTCTACTGTCTGCACCCACCAACTTAGAGTGCTCCTGGGAAGTGGCAGAGGGAATTTGGGGGCTGGAGACAATTGACAGCAGTGAACATTTTGGAGGAAATTGTTTTGCTTTGAAAAACCCTATATTATAAAGCCAGTGGTTTTAACTAGTTTTTCTCTGTGTTAGTCACTGGGGAACTTTGCCCCAGCTGGTGTAGTTTTCATGGGAAAGGAGTTGGAGCCATCTAAACACAAGCGGTCCTGATGCAGCGTGTTGGTGGTGCTCTTCCTGTCCCTCCTCCTGACCTGCTGGCTCGGCTGTTGGCACCTGTCACTTGCTTTGCTCTGCTCTTCACAGGTACTGCGACTGCTTTGCCAGCGGGGACTTCTGCAACAACTGCAACTGTAATAACTGTTGCAACAATCTACGTCATGAGATCGAACGGTTGAGAGCCATTAAGGTAATAAATGTTCATAAAATACATGCATTTTAAAAGCATTTAAAAGTGCTTGAGATGCTCATAAAAAGATCTCCAGAGATTCCTAATTTCAGTATCAGGAAAACCCAGGTATTTGAAGGATACACACTTAATATGCTCTCTTCCTGCAGGGGGGGTGCTGGCCCATGGGAGGGCTGTCATGAGTAGTATACTGAGCACGATCTCTACCCCCACCAGTGTGGGAAGGCGTTACAGGTGCCGCAGAGTCTAGGAAGGTTCTGATTCAAGAACATGCAAGTGTCCACTTTGTCTTGATTTGGGGTTTAGAAATTTTGGGTCATATTATGTAGCAGATAAACTTGAGTTCAAATAGTGTAGTTTAAAAAAGTGCAGACTGTCTACCATCAGAAGAAGACAGGGTGAAAGCCTCAGCCATTGTGTATTTCACATTTTTATACCCCTTAGCTTCCAGGATAAGGGAAGTACCTAGGGTTTCCTCAAGGAGCAAAATGTACCCAGGTGGCCCCAGAGGACACTCAGCTGGGGGATAAATACAGGAGCATGCAGTTTTTATCCCCTTCTTAGGTGCAAAGGATAATCAGGGAGAAGGGAAGGGACAGTTAGGTGTGGGGCTGTCAACCCGCTTCAGGGACGCACTTCCTAGTGCCCTTCAATTTATGGGAAATAACTAGACTTGCAACTATCCTGTGCAAAGAGAACAAAATTATACTGTGCCACGGTTGGTCTACTTATTTTTTTCTAAAATAATTTAATTCCTGTCTTGAGTTATGGATAAATCAGTTGAAAATATCTTATCAATTTTGATATAGCCAGATCCATAGGACAGAAGAAAATTATGATGCATCTATTCTTCAGGACAGTTATATTTTATTTAAGGGTAAGGGTACTATCTACAATTACAATTTTGATATAGCCAGATCCATAGGACAGAAGAAAATTATGAGGCATCTATTCTTCAGGACAGTTATATTTTATTTAAGGGTAAGGGTACTATCTACAATTACAAGTGCCAACATTTTTATATAAAAAGTGTTGGAATTCTCAAGCATTGCTGATAGGAATGTAAATTGGTACCACTTTAGGAAATCATTTGGCATAGCTACTGAAGCCAAACCTTTGTATATACTATGATCCAGCAAATTTCATTCCTAAAAATATAGCCAGGAGAAATGAGTGTAAATGTCCATCCAAAGACTTGTACAAGAATGGTCACAGCAGCTTTATTCATAATAGGCCAAAACTGGAAACAACCCAAATGTCCGTCAGCGGTAGAATGGATAAATCCATTGAGGTATGTCATGTAAAACCATACTACACATGAATGAAAAAGAAAGAACTAAGGGCGACAGTGCGAATGAATCTCACAAACAATATTCTGAGGAAGAAAGCCAGACACAAGTGTGCATGCTGTGTGATTCCATTTACAGGAAGTCCCAGAATAGGCATATATACAGCTGTCAAAGTTGAGGATGCACTGATGGGGAGGAGTCATGGGGAAGCCTCTGGGGATGGACTGTCCTTCATCTTGACCCGAGTGGTGGTTACACAGGTGTGCACATGTGCACAAGTTCATCATGCTATACCTGCAGACGTGTGTGCTCACTGCCCGTCATGCTTCGCTAATAAGTAAAAATGCAGAAATAAGGTCGCCCCACTCCAGACCAGTGCTGTCCAATAGGACTGTGGATGGCAGTGTGCTCATGGTGCTGGTGTTGGATGGCCCAGATCCTGACTGTTAACCTTAGGGCAGGGGAAGCCAGGGGCCTCCACTGTGACTTCTATATTCTTTCAGTTTTTACAAAGTGTGGAATCACTGCGCGTTGAAAGGTATGTATGTATCTGTGTGTATAGCTAGATAGAGGGTAGATTAAAAAGTGGAAACAAGCAGAGCAGGACAGAAAGGCATGCATGCTGTGTAAGGAAGGGGGACCCAATGGTGGTGGCCCTGGGCCCTGAAGACAGCATGGGGACTTCACATCTGGAATCCACCGCTTGTCACCTGCTGTTTCACCTCTGTCTCCTCATCTGTAAGACAGCAATAACAGTGACAGTTTTATTTCCCAAGGTTGCTGAGAGGATTAAATGAGAGAATAATATGATATTTATATTATAAATGATATTTTCTAATAATTATATTAATTAATATTAATTACGTTTATGATGTAAATTGCATTAAAAGATGCCTGGAACATGGTGTGTTCAGTCAAGTTCAGTCAGTGTGAGCTGTTAGTATAGTACCACGATCTCAACTGTCTTAGCAAAATGGGCACAGGAATGCTGGAAGGGAAGCCCACGTGGAAACAATGATTTTCTTTGCCTCTTTACCATTTATTAATTTTCTATAGTAAATATATACGTGACTTTGAAACTCAGAGAAAAAGCAAAACCTGGAGAAACTATGGCTACAGTATGCCTTTATTACAGTGAAAATGAATTAAAATAGAACAAGAAGGGATGTACCTTCTTAACTATGTGAGGAGACTCACTCACTGGGGCTCCTTTTAAAACAATGAAAAAATTCAGATGAGATGCTTTTCATTGAACGTTATTTTTGAATAATAAAATACATCTTGATGGAGTTTCCCATTTCCTATCTTAGGCATGTCTTGATAGAAATCCAGAAGCTTTCCAGCCAAAAATAGGGAAAGGAAAATTGGGAGACGTTAAGCCTCGACACAGCAAAGGGTGTAACTGTAAGAGATCAAGCTGCCTTAAGAACTACTGCGAATGCTTTGAGGTTAGTCATCACTTTCCTGGGGTTAGTTACCAAAAAAAAGCCAGGTAAATATTTGGCCCAAGTAACTTTGTGATTAATAAAACTTTACTGTAATTTAGAAAGAGAAACATAATTAGTTTTCTTTTCTCCAGGGTTCCTCGAAGGGCATTCATATTAATGTGAATTAATTTCTCAAATATCAGCTGAGCTTTGTGAATCAAGTGAATTAAGTGAGGGCTCCTTTTGGAGCATGGCGCACTCCCTGAACCCAGCCCTGAGTGTCCCGCCGCTGTGGTGTTGCCCTCGGTGGCCAGCAGTGTGGTGGCTCCGGAGGTGGGCCAGGCTTCCTCCTCCCCGAGCAGAACCAAGTCGCACCCTGTGGGGCAGGTGGACAGTAGGTCTCTGAGGCTCGGCCCCAGGCGTCCGTTTGCCTGGGTGCTGCGGGCCAGGGCAGCTTCTCAATGGCCTGCAGCCCCATCAGCCTAAGCCCATTGAGAGACACCACGAAACCCTTTTCTTTTTCTCAAAGATTTAATGGCAGTAGAGGGACTCGCTTTCCCCTTTAGTCCTGTCCCTCTTTGCCTCCCTCGTTTATTTCTAGTTTTCTTTGTGTTGAAGGGAAGGAAGAAGGAGAAGGGAGGGAGTCCGGGGCCTAGCCGGACGCTGCTGAGACTTGCCTTCAAAGGCTGCCCCCATTTGCCTGTGAATGTTATCTTTATAAGGTTGTCACAGAAGGTCAGGCTTAAGGAAGGTCTCCAGGATTCTGGAGACACACTTTGAAAGATCTGAGTAAGCAGACCTAGCAATCCTCCCACTAGGATTTTGAAAGTATAGTCAAAAATAGTGCAGAGATAGAGAATTCAAAAAGCAAGTGGGGTCACCCCAGTGGAACTACTTCCCAATGGCCTCAGAGCATCTCCTCTCCGCTCTGCAAAGCGCCCTCACCTGCTGCCAGGATCAGTAACTCGGCACACTTCCCACAGGCGAGAAAAGAGAGGACCCTGTCCTTTGGTCTCTGGCGTTAGCATAGACTAGAGATCCTGAGAAACCCCCTGCTTCAAAACACCCAGAGGTGCAGATAAAGCACAACAGATACCCTTTGAGATGCATCTCTGAGCCGGGGAACAGAGGGAAATCCCCAGGGGCTGAAGCAAAGAGGAAGCTCAAGGCCATAGTGGTTGGCAGTGCCAGCTGCTGGGCCCCCAAAGGGCCTGCATGGGCAAGGAGTCAGCCAAGCAGGCTTGCTGCAGCCAAAACGCCCTGGCCCCCGGCATCGCACTGCCGGGAAAGACCAGCAACAAATCCACCAGGAGGACACAGGAAGGTCTCCCTGAGAACTCCCACCCGCAGGCCTGCCCTCGGGTGGGTTTCAGATTCTCCCTCTTGGCCCATTCCCTGCGGTGATACAGCCAGTGCAACACCTGCAGCAGGCTTTGTTCAAAACAAGAGTCAGACGACGTGGTTTGCTAGTTCCCCAGTGGAGGAGGGAGAGCAGCCCCCTCGCTGTTTGCGGGGACCCAGCCCACACTCCCCTCCCCTATCAGCAGCACCCTGTGTCCCCACAGCACCAGACACAGAACGCACCTTGCTCTCTTCGTGTCACCACCCCTCACTCCTATCTTCTGCTATTTTTTTTGGTATGAAAATTGCAGATCACACACACGCGCGCATGCACACACACGCACGTGCGCGCATACGTGGGCAAATATAATCAGAGAATTATTTAAGGCCCAAATAGAATTTGTCAGTTCTTGAGGACTCTTAGGGCAACCTAATTTTATTGGAGCATTTTATATTACCAGGCCAAAATTATGTGTTCTTCTATTTGCAAATGCATTGGTTGCAAAAATTATGAAGAAAGCCCAGAACGAAAAACACTAATGAGCATGCCAAACTATATGGAAATTGGAGATTTTGAAGGCAGCCATCGATTGTCACCAACTAAATTTTCAGGACTATCAAGATTCAGAAGAGATAGGTAAGTACTCTGAACTACCCCTCCTAATAGGGGAATAGAGGTTAATTTGAGAGGAGAGTTAATTACACACTGGAAAGAAAGGTATGCGTCTACAGGGGTGGGTGGGAGGGATGGGGAAGAGGGAAGCAATCTTCCCTTACTTGAACTAATCCTAGACCACCCACTGGGTTTCCTCGGGGGACCCTGCCACGGACACCTGCTGTGTCCTCTTTGTCCTCTTAGCTTGGCCTTTCTGTCCTCACTGTCTGAGTTACTCCTGGTTAGTACAAGACAAAAGGGCCCCGCCAGGACCATTCATAGGCCAGCAGTGTTGTGGTGCTGCCTTTGAGTTAATCCAGAGTCATGACCTCACGCAGCCAGCAGGAATGGTCTTCAAATGCCCAAACCATTCTGTATCATGGGAAGTCTCAGCAAAGAGATGCTCTTGATAAATACTGTATTCTTCACTAAAGTGATTATGGATCCCAGGTTAGTTGGATATTTTACCATTTAATGATTTTGAAGCTGTATTATAATCCTAGCAGGTCTCAAAGGTTGAGTAATAATTTTACTATATATTAGACTCGATTCATTCATTTAAAAGAATTTCCGAGTTCAGTGTAATGGATCATATCATGATAAAATACCAGATGTCATTAATTAAAAAGTATCATTTTGCAAAGCCAGATTCATGCTTATTTGGTTGGAGAGATACCAGGAATGCTCATTGTGACCTGCAGAGGTCTTTATCGTAAAAATTTACCAGAAACCTGGCTGCATCTTCTGTGAAATGATGTGTGAAAATGTCACCTGACATTGGGATGTTGTGTGTTGCGTGGAATGTGACGGAGGTTCCATACTTTGGGGTCTGGTCTTGGTGTTACAATTCTTGACCCAAGGACAGCCCTGTCCTTTGGTCTTCAACAAAAGTCATTGTGCTGCTTTACAGAGAGACATTAACCAATCCAACATTTAGCTCTGTTTTCATAATCCCATTATTTTTAATCTTTTGTAAGTTTTCCTTAATTTTCAATTTGAACACCACGTGGGTAGCTGCCTGGTTGAGCCAAAGCTGCCCCTTGTGCTGGGTGGGGAAGATGCTGGTCCTGTATGATGCAGTACAACTTGTCCTTCAGAACCTCTTTCAAGGCTCCAAGTGGTGCTCAGGGCCCATCCTGACATGGGTGGTGAGTCCTCAGCACCATGGGCATTTTGCAGCTCCGAGTGCACCCGTTGGGAGGAGGGCAGCCCCCAGCATGGTATCACTGCCAGCTTCCCTGACATCACACACACATCTCAGACCAAGGCTGCATGTCCTGGCCACGGCACCTTGTCTTATCCAGTGTTCCCATATCATCAGCCCTGCCCAGCCTGTGGCTTTGACACTGCTGTCCAGGGTCTGCTGGGTGTGGCAATAGATCTAATTTTTTTTTTTTTTTTTTTTTTTTTTTTTTTTTTTTTTTTTTTT